GCGCGTGATGGTCTCGCCCATCGTATCCATTTGCCTAACTTGAAGCGCATGTCCTTGGCTCTTGCGATGCCTTCTCGCATCTTCAGCAGGTCTGATGGAGGTGCATATGTGGCGATATTTTTGGCGTACGAGCGCAAAAATTTGCGGTTGATCAATTGAGGGGCACGATTTTCTAGATCATTTCCAATCAGGTCATTCCAATCAGGTCATGCTGGACCAGGTCAACTCTCGTTCGTTCTGAAAACGCTTGAAGAATGCAATATTAGACATGTTTGGATCTAAACTGATCCACTGGCACTTCACATGGGACTGTAAGGCTGCGGACTTCTAAAATTGCAAGAGGGGAAATAAGGACAGTAGGACAGATGCAGGAGAATCTCCCACCTGAGCACACGGCGCACGGCGCTCGTGGCAACAACTCGCGCGAGCGACAGCATTAGCGACGCAGCTCCAACACGCGCAACAAACGCGCAACAAGAAAAGCACGATCCCCTTCAACATAAACCCACCGGCAGGATCGACGAAGTCCCGCGTCAGCACCTCGATCAGCATGTCCCAGCGTTCAATATCATGCGCGCGCCGTTCGTGAGAGGAGAGTTAACACTCACTGCCGCGACGTCGCCCCCCCTGGTCGCTCGCTGCGGATCCGCCGGTCCGCGAACGTCCGAAAAAAAGCCTCGTCCCGGCGCGCTCCCGCAGCCGCTCGCGGCGCGGGCGACGCCCTGGCCCGCGGCGGATTGGCGGACCCCCCCGCATCCCAGCGGCGCCGCGGCGCCGCGCCGGCCACCACTAGAACGGACGCCGCCCACCCCTCCCCGACTCGTGCCCCGCGCGCGCGCGCGCCGCGCCGCCGCGCGCGCGAAAACCGGGCCGCCTCCGCCGCAGGCATGGCCCGCGCGCTCCTCGCCTTCGCCGGCGTCGCCACGACGGCGGCCCTCGTCGCGCCCTCCACGTCGGTGCGCGCCTCCGCGCCCCTGCGCGAGTCCTTCGGCTTCGACTTCGTCGAGGACCAGGCCGCGAACACGCCGTTCGAGATCCTCGGCGAGCGGCGCCTCAAGACCGAGTGGGTGCGGTCCTACAAGCCCACGGCGACGGTCATCGAGGGCAAGCCCTACCCCCTCTTCCAGGAGCTCCAGGACAAGAAGATCCTCTCCGCGACGGCCGAGTCGGGCCTCCTCGGCGCGCTCGACGACCTCGGCCTCACGCTCAGCGACGTCGAGAAGCTGCTGCCCATCGTCGACAAGTCCGGCGCCCTCGGCCTCGCGAAGAACAACCTGCCCCTGGCCATCGTCGCCACGGGCTACCTCCTCATCGAGCCCGCGCCCGTCCTCATCCCCGTCCTCGGCGCCGCACTTTCCGTGTCGAGCGGCGTCTGGACCGCGATCGCCGCGGCGACGACGGCGGCGGAGGTCGGGTTGGTGGCCACGGGCGACGACTCCCTGCTGCCCCTCCTCCTCGCGCCCCTCCTCCTCCTCAGCGGCGTGCTCAGCCTCGTGCCCACCGCCATCGCGGGCCTCAAGGACCTCCCCGAGCCCTGAGCGCGCCGCGGGGCGGGCGGGGCGTAGTAGGGGCGGTAAGGGCCGCTACCGACTCGGGCCACGGGGGGACGCGCGGCCGCGGTCGGCGCCGGCGCCGCGGCGTCTCGAGAGGGCCGGAGGTCCGAGTCCGCGCTCCCGACGGGTCCCCGTCCGCCGGCTCCCGTCGCGCCGCGCTCGGAGCCGCGGGGGCGACGGCGGCGAGCGCGGGTCGCGGGCGGCCCCGGGCCTCGCACGTCCACCCCGTGGCCGGCGTGTGAGCGCAGGACGAGGCGCGCACATCCGCCGGGCGAGGCGTAGGCCTGCGACCAGGCCGAATCCTCGAACTGGCGAGCCATCTCCACAAGCGCTTGCGCCACGGGTAGGCCGATAGGTCTCCGGAGGCGTCGCATGCGCGCGGCGCTCGTCGTCGTTTTGCGGGCCCTCGCGGCGGCCGCCGACAACGCGACGGACTGCGTCGCCTTCTGCGGCCGCGGCGAGGGCGGCCTCTCGAACACCTTTGCGTTCCTGAACATGGCCTACGCCTACGCGCACCAGAGCGGCCGCCGGTTCCTCGTCACGGCGCTCGCGCCGCCGGACGTCGCCAAACACGGCTTCGTCGAGACCGAGTTCGCGGACGTCCTGGGCCCGCCCGAGTGGACCTGCGCGTCGCGGCTCTCGGCGCCCAAGGCGCGCGCGCCCCGGGGCCCGTTCGTGCGCGACGTCGCGTGGAATCGAGACCGCAAGTACTTCCAGCGCGGCGTCGACGTCGCGGCCCTCGAGAAGGGCCTCGAGGTCACGCGGAGCGGCTTCGCGCGGGCGCCGCCCGTCGCCGGCTGCGCGTCCGTGCTCCAGTGGCGCGTCGCCGACCCGCGCGCGACGTGCGGCGCGGACCAGGCCGCGCTCGGGAAACCGTTCGCGCACCGGCGGTCCATCAAAAACTGCACGGCGGCGCGGACGAAGGCGCCGTTCTGGCTGTCCTACGACTACGCGGCGACGCGGCGCTTCTTCCGCGAACGGTACCCGCGGCCGCCGCGGCGGCCGCTCGGCGCGGTGCGCGCGGTGCTCCACTACCGCCTCGGCGACGTCGAGGCGCCCGCGGCCGACGGGACGTCGCTCCACGCGCTCAAGGTCGAGAAGCGGGGCGCGCTCGACGCCGCGCTCGCGGACGTCGCGGTCCTCGGGGCGCTCGCGGCCCGGGGCTGGACCGTCGCCGCGCGCGTCGCGTCCGACTCGCCGGGCCACGCGGAGGTGGCGGCGCTGGAGCGGGCCCTCGCCGCGGCCGTCGGCGCGGCGGCGCCGCCGGCCCCGGCGTCCGCGCGCGCGGACTTCGACGACATGGCGACCGCGGACCTGCTCGTCTGCGGCGGCAGCGGCTTCTGCCACGTCGCGGCCATGC